AGACCTATGGGATGTGAGGGTGTTTGGGGTGGGTTTGGGGCTGCCTTTAGGGTGCTTCCCCTATAGGAAGAGGAGTTGGGGTGTTGCTGCTGGGGTCTCACAGAGTTTAAGGTCCCCCATAGAAAGAGGAGGGTTTGAGGTGCGCCCTGCTTGCAGGAAATGGGGTGGGCTGTAGGGTTTGAGGGTTTTGGGGTCGTTATAGGAAATGGTGTAGGGCAGCTCTCAGATACAGGGACAGCTCTGGGGTATAGGGACAGTTCATATACGGACAGCTCAGATATAGGAGCAGCTCTCGGATACAGGGACAGCTCAGATATAGGGGCAGCTCCCCGATATAGGGACAGCTCTCATCTATAAGGTGCATTTGTTATTCATAGGGTGTATCTCTCATTTATAGGGTCCCTTTCCCCTCTATGGGGTGAATTTCCCCTCTATAGGGTCCCTTTCCCCTCTATAGGGTCCCTTTCTGCTCTATAGGGTGAATTTCCCCTCTATAGGGTGTATCTCCCCCCATAGGGTGAATTTCCCCCCAGAAATTTCTCTTTTATCTATAGGGTGCAGCTTTATGGCCATTATTTCCTATTTATTCCTTGTCCTTTATCCTTTATTCTTTGTTATTTATCATTAATTACGATTGGCTATTATTGTTTCCTTATATTTATTATTCTTTATTATTCATTATTATTTCTCATTTATTACATTTCTGTTGTTTATTATTTATTATTATTTTCAAATTATTAATTATTATTATATAGGGACCAAATTCATTCCCAAAATGCCACAACTCCCTCCCCCCCGCAAAAAAAAAATCCCTCAGAACTTCCAGTTTGGATTAATTCATGTTTATTTCCTCCCTTCCAGAAGTTTTCCCAACCTGCCATGGAGCACCAATAAAAACCCCAGTTCCCAAAAAATCCATATAAAAACCCCGTTAGTTCCTAAAAAAATCCTTCAAAAACACAAATCCAGGGAGTTTTCTGTTAGAAAAAGGGGAAAAATTAGGATGTGGTAAGTGGAAGGTGGGGGGGAATAAATCAGTTGGGTTTTCTGGAGCTAAAAAAGGGGAATTTTGCCCATTTTTTTGCTTAAAATTGCAATAGGAAAATGGGAAAACCATCCACAGGGTCCCAAATCGTATCAAAAATAGACAAATTTTGTCATCTCATGGGAAAATTACAGCTTTTTCCTGGAGAAATGGGAATGAGGGGACAAAAATCGCTGTGGGGTTGGAGCACGGGGATGGGATGGATCCCATTGACGGGATCTGCTGAGGATTTTGGGATCAGGAATGGGGATGGATCCCATTGATGGGATCTGCTGAGGATTCTGGAATCAGGAATGGGGATGGATCCCAT